GGGGGGGGGGGCCCGGGTCTTTCCATGGTCTTTGGAGAATGGGGGTGAATGCAGTCAGTCTCCTCTTCCTGGCGTACTGAATGTGGCTTGTGGTCTCCTAAAGAGGGGGAGAGGCAAGGCCTTGATCCAGCCCCTTGTCCCCACAGGCGACCATCCCTACGAGTGTGAGTTCTGTGGCAGCTGCTTCCGGGACGAGAGCACGCTCAAGAGCCACAAACGCATCCACACGGGCGAGAAACCCTATGAGTGCAATGGCTGTGGCAAGAAGTTCAGCCTCAAGCACCAGCTGGAGACGCACTATAGGGTGCATACAGGTACTGAAGACCGGTGAGGGCACCTGAGCTGGGGCAGGGACCTGGGTGAGGGGTAAGGGGCAGGTGGCTCTCCAGGGCAGCCCGGGCGAGGATGGTCCAAGACTTACCCCAAGACTGGAACGTGACTCTGGTGAAGGTTAGCACGATGGCCCAGGTGCCACCGCCCGGGGTCAAGGCCGAGGCAGACATTGCTAATTGATCATGGCACGCTTTCCAGGGGCCCAGACTGGCCTTCCAGGCAGCTATGCCAATGGCTTGCAGTTTGTGCGTCCTGATTTGGGGTCAAGTTGGCCTGCTTACTGAAAAGTAGAAGCTGGGATGGTTTCTTGTTACTGGGGGTTAGAGTAAGAACTGGGGGGTGGGCACTGAGTCTGGTTAGGATGAGAGCTGAGACACTGTTGGGTTGAGTTCTCAGAGATCAGAGGGGCAGGTGTATTTACTAACCCCTCTTCATGTATAACATTGTAGCATTTCACAGGGCTTTCACATTCCTTTTTATGCAAGAGAAATGTGATCAGAGGGTGGGGTCTGAGGACAGAATGAGTAGACATGGCCATGGTGTCCAGAATTGCCAGATTCGGGGGCAGTGGAAGGCTGGAGCTGGCCTGCAGTGGCCCGTGAAAGCCCATCTTGCCCATCTCTTCCCAAGTGCAGTGACATCACCTCAGTTGCTTAAAAGCAGCCGGTGTCAGAGTAGTCCCAACATGGCCATGGGCAACTGCTACAGAATCGGGCCTTTTTGGAGAGCCAGTTGTTAACTGCTTCCCAGCAGCACATTGCAGGTTGGGGGGACGGTGGGTATTCAGAAGGACCTCCCATGAGGATATGAGGCGTAGTGGAAGCTAGTGGAATCTGGTAAACTTGAAGCCTCCTCTGATCAGGGGAAGCAGCCGTCTTGACCAGAAGACGGTGGGGAGAGGTGACTGAGGGGTGACTGAGGACAGGTTGTGCTGGCCGAGGGGAGAGTATGCTTCCATGGGAGGTGGGGGGATAAAGGAGGCAACAAGGAGAGGATGTGTGGTGTCATAGCTGTGTGTTCTTGCCTCCAGCCTGGGCCATAAGGAAAGCCTCGGGTGGGGTGCTTGCTGCTGACAGCTAGAGTCCCTCCCGGTATTTTCCAGAGCCCTGGGGCTTCCTTAGCCCCCTGCTGGGGATGTGACCTGGCAAGCCGATCATTAAATGCATTGGTGGTGACTATTGTAAATAGCAGGTCGATAGTTAGATCACTTTGGCTGTTCATTACTTCATTATTTGCTGGGGCCTCTGCACAGAGGAGTATTGATAGCGAGATGGCCGGCCAGTTAATTACTGTATCGAAACAAGGTTCCCTCACACCCTCTGCTCAGCTCCAGGGGACTCTTAACTGGGAGGAAGCTGGGCAGCAGCTAGGGTGTGACAGGACACTCCCAGGCTCTCTGTCCCTCACTGCTCTCTAGCCCCCCTGGGAAGGCAGGGTCCAGGGCACCTGCTTGTAGCCTTAGAGGAGTAGGCATCCCAAATGGAACACATTTGAAGGAAAGGATTCCCTCATTTTCATCCCCCTCCTCCCTACCAGCTGTAGCCTCAAAACGACTCTATCCCCGTGTTCCCCTAGAAGGAATATCCCGAAGGACTTTCAGGGCCTCACTGTCCCTTCTCTAGACCCCCATATCCTTTCTTCGGAAGGTAAGATTCTGGGCCTTTGGGAGGGTTACATAGAATGAGGCAGGGCTAAGGGTGTGCTTGGCAACAGGGCAGCCCCTTGCTACGTGTGGCTGCTGAAATGAGGAACCATGGAGTCCCTCTGAGCCACTGAGCATGTAGTTCCAGAGGCACTAGCCACGCTTCAGGTGCTCAGTAGCTCTCTGTGGCCAATGGCTACCATATTGGATGGTGTATCCACGCTTCAGGTGCTGAGTAGTTCCGTGTGGCCAGGGGCAACCATACTGGATGGTGCCTCCGTGCTTCAGGTGCTCAGTAGCTCTTTGTGGCCAGTGGCTACCGTATTGGATGGTGCATCTGTCATCGCGGAAAGTTCTAGTGGGAGGTGCTAAACTAGAGGGGCCCAAGTCTCCAGAGAGCCTGGGGGTGGAGCGAGGGCCCAGAGCAGCCCTGGCGAGACCCTCACGGCCCTCTCCCTGTGTCCTGGCTCTCTCCTGCCCTCCCCCCACAGGTGAGAAGCCCTTTGAGTGTAAGCTGTGCCACCAGCGCTCCCGGGACTACTCGGCCATGATTAAGCACCTGCGCACGCACAACGGCGCCTCCCCCTACCAGTGCACCATCTGCACGGAATACTGCCCCAGCCTCTCCTCCATGCAGAAGCACATGAAGGGCCACAAGCCCGAGGAGATCCCGCCCGACTGGAGGATAGAGAAGACTTACCTCTACCTGTGCTACGTGTGAGGCAAGACGGCGGCAGTGGCGGGGGAGCGGGCAGCCGGGAGAGAAGAGTTAGGGCAGGATGAAGTCGAGGAAGGACTGTGGAAAAAAAAAGAAAGA